GTTGACACCCCCAGCTAAAGCACAAGCACCTTAGTCGCACCTCCCCTGCCCCTCATCCTGGCCTTGACACTCTACCCCAGCGTCATCCCAAAGCACAATATCCCGGTCACTTGGTGGGCTCCTGGGGCCACAGAGGGGTGGGCTGGGGTTCCAGCCAGCCCCCAAAGGAAGCAGGAGTCTCCGGGTACTCCCCCTTCCAGGCCTTAGCTGGGGGCCAGCTCCTGGGACTGGTGTCCTCTCCCTCCCCACCCTTTTTTCTGGGCAGATCCCTGCCTAGTCCCCCTCCCTGACTTGTCTTCAGGCAGGGCTTGCCCCTGTCCTTCCTCCATTCCCTTGCAGCACTGGGTTGGGTGGCAGAACCCCTTGTTTCAGGGACCCCAGGAGGTGCCCCTGGCTCCAGGGGACTGTGTGTGGGTGGTGGGGGAGGGGGGTTTGAGGGGCAGAGGGTGGAATTCCTCACCAGGAGAGCCAAAGACAGGGTTGTGCCTTACCCCAGGAGCCACCCCTGTGCCCATCCACCCTGCCCTTTCAGGTGGCCTGCTGCTTTTCCTCCCCTCCTGACCCTCCCCCCCAGCCCTGCTCTGAGCTGCATGGTTCCCACCCCCACCTGGACAGCCAGGAAGGAGCATGAATGGAGAATCACCAACGCAAAAAAGACTGGAGGCCTCTGGCCGCCCCTGTTCCCGTAGGACAGGCCAGCTGCTGTGTCCACGTGGAGTGCCAACACCTGCCCTTCTCCGGGCTGAGCCCCCCCACCCCCACCCCAGCCTGTAAGTGAGATTGCACATTAACTACTGTAAGGAGAGGAGCGCACTGGGAAATGTGAACATGAGAACATCAGTAACACTGATGAGAATAAACTAAACGCCTTTGTAACAGCCCTGCAGCATGCTACTCACTGGGGGGCAGAGGGGTTGTAGTGGCTGGAAGAGATGCTGCACACTGGGTTCTCATTCTGCAGAGCAACACCCCCACTGCTCAGGACTCACGTTGACAGATGCAGCCGGGTCCAGCTCAGGGTGCACTTGGGAGTGGCCATGCCAAATGTCACATGACAACACCCATCATGTGAGGGGGAGAGGCAGCATGTTCTTTTCCAATGGTAACAGGTACAGACCCAGACCACCAATGGGTTCCACTTACAATACCCTTCAGGCTACCCCATATGTAGACTCACAACACTGCCCAAGGCTGTTCCTGCACACATGGCCCCTGCATGGGAGTCCCTCCAAAGCTAGAAGGGTAGAGGCTCCCTTGAATGGGCTACTGACCCACTAGCTGCCCTGTGGTCTGACACCCCCCACACTCCATTCTGAGTCAACACAAAAGTTGAGGTGGCAAACATAGCTATAGATCCCGAGGATATCGAAGGACAAAAGGTTCTATGGAGCCAAATAAAGACATCTAAGTGCCTTAGGATCCCATTTATTCAGTCATTTCAAGCAGCCTGGGAAGGGTAGTTACCTATCAGGGATCCCATTGGTCAACAAAAAATCTGCTGGGAGGTGGACAAGGAGGCTACATCTCCGCCCAGGCCAGCTCCTTCCACCCATGATACAAGGGAATGATGTCCATGGGAACGATGACTAATATGCTTCAGGTTGACCCTTGCAGTCAAAAATCCACGTAGAACGTTTGACACCCCCAAAATTTTACTAAGCCTAGTGTTGACCAGAAGAAGCCTTACTGATAATATAGTCAATGAGCACCTATTTTGTATAGGTACCATATAATGTATTCTTATAATAGACAACAAGAAAAGGTTAAAGTTATAAAGAATATACATTTATAGTGTTTAGTTTTAAAATCAGCATATAAATGGACTGCACAGTTTAAGCCTGTGTTGTTCAGAGGTCAACTATACTACAATTCACAGGATGAACTGGGTATGTCTCAGTAAGACCAGCCCATTTGGGGTCCTGAAGTCCAGCATCAGCTGTCAAAGGGGTTTTGAGGACCAACAACATTGCCAACAAAAATTCAGAGGTGATGCTGCCCCACCTGACTCCCAGAAGCACATCTTTTAACCCCAGAAAGACTTAGAACTGAGTATAGAATGGGCCAAGAGAACCCAAACCATCACATAAAAAAGGAGTCTGTACATACTTGGTTCTTTTTTGACTAACTGGCCTGATAGAGTAGCATCCTCTAACATACAGCACTCCAGAACGTGTACATGAGTGAGAGATTCGTGGTTCCCACGCCTGATTAATGTGGGGGATGGAACGGTCTGATGATATCTAAGGTTCACAGTGCTTACAAGTTTACCCAGCTTATATAGGGATCATTTCACACTCAGGAAGGCTCTATGGCAAAGCCCTTAAATTTACAAACGCTGCCCTGTTAGAGTGATGCATCACAGAGGGAACTAGAAACCAGCTGTGCAGTGGAGCCCAGCGTTACTTGGAGGCACCTCAGAAGGGACCACTCAGCTCCATGGCTAAGGCATTTACCTACTTTGGGTACAGGACAGGCAAAAGATGTTTAGGCTGAACTTCAAACGCTCAAGAAACATTCATGGTTTAAAATTTTCAGTGGCAATAAAATTATCCATCATGAAAACCAAGAAATTAACCAGAATAGTCTTTTCTGCACCTAATACTGGCCACTGAAATCCCTAACACGCACACATGCGTACACACACGCACACACCTGTGCGTGCAAATGAAGTTTAGAGTTCCCACTCAGGAAGCAGCCACAAGTTTAGAGTCAACATACCATATGATCTAAATACGTATAAAAAAGGCTGGGATTTTATTTCCAAGTTGGCACATGTAGAAGGCATAGGGGTGAATAAATGGCTTTGGGACACTGGAAATAGAAATGGGGCAGGGTGTATCTGAGGTCCCCCTACTCACACCCCTAAGTGCACTTGAGAAAGGAC